ATAGTATAATATATGTAACATATACATATATAGATCTAGTCACATTTTTAAAGGTTAGTGATATCTACAGGGTGTCTCACCTAACTCCGATGACACCCTGCATAGATGACTTCTATTAATGATTTGTATACGATTTCTTTCGGAATGTATGAATTACCTAGTTATTAGTAGGTTTCGAAATTTTCTACTTAAATTATGTCCACGCTTAATGCTGCACTCCATATCATGAAATGTATTCTTCTATGGAGTACATCAAACTTTTCGCGAGACACACGGTATATATGGCTGTTTATTGGTTGATTAGACGTATAGTACGAGTACGTTTACCGTTCGTTGTATGATTGGGTACATTTAACTTAAAATTCTGAATCTTCTGACTTTCTTCTAAAACTGATCTCGGAATTCTGATTTGCCAATTCAGTTTGGCATTCGACAATTTACTTCGTCTGGTTTTCGGTGGTAATTCTTGATTTTGTTGTTGTACCACCGATTTTTTTTCAGTGGTATATCGCCTTGCCTGTTCTTCGGTTAATTTTTGCAGCGTGATTCGGCACTCCCGGAAGCTGGAGATTTTGTTTTCCTTTTCTTGCACCAAATTAGAAAACGATTGTTTAGTTTTGTTGGTCTTAAAGAAATACAATTCCCGCCCGCCAGTCTCGTTTGTTTTAATACGAATCTTGATATTGTTATTAATTCTTGTCCTTTTCTGCTTGAAATTTTTTCGACCAGCACGTTTCATTTGCGATCTGATTTTAATAAGCTTATCTTTAACTGGTCTGGGATTTAAATCTTTAAAAACTTTTCGGTTTTTCGTATTTCGCACTATTGTGGTTGATCTTTTCGAATTTTCAGTTCTTCTGTCCTGGATCTTCAATGGGGGGAATTGTACTTGGACATCTATCTTTTGACATTTTTTCTTTAGATTTCGCAACTTTATTTGATTTTCTTTAATCTCACTTTTCAAGTTTTGTACGTTTTTCACCAACGCCTTCTTGTACATATTCTCGTAGTATTGTAATTCCTGTTTCAACTCTTTGTGCTGTTTCAAGAGATGCTTAGTTTTTGTTGTTAGTACTTTGATCATTCTACATTTTGGTTCTTTCGCATTTTTCCCTTCTACCGTGTAAATGAAATCGTTTATCTGCTCTTTGAGTTGTTCCAGATTTCCAGAAATCTTATCTATATTAGGTTTGTTTCTCTTGCGTGTAGTCGTATGCATTTTATGGCATGTGACCGGTACCAAACAGTCACATAATCTAACAAAATTTGCGACGATGAAATTTCATCCCGATGAAGAGCTCTCCACTATCGTCGATACTCGTTTCTTCACGGTTAATATTACATTGTATTCCTTCGAAAATGTGTTGCATGTACGTACATGCGTAAGAACGTTATGTTATACAGACAAAGATGTTGTATACAACTACTAATGCCGGTCGGCCCAATATATTAACTTGTGAAATTATTACATATATCTCTTAGGCTCGTAACGTCGTAACTGTTTACAACCTTACTTTACTGTATGCCGGAGATCTGCGCGCCATCTAAAGAAAGGTCGGATATTATTAAAGGATCAGCTTTTTACAACCCTTGTGGCATCTTAACCTCCAAAAATTCTCCAGCACTCTCAATTGGCTTGTTTCTAAGCTTAGAAGAAATATAGCTCAACTATTGGTTGAATTTGAAATTTGCCGGAGGAGCCAAAAGCGAACTCACTTATAACTCCATCAATTCTCTATTCGACTGTGTCATATTAAGCGCATATACATCATTATTTGATTGGCTTAGCGAATTATGAACATATGGAGGCAGTTTTTCGTTATTGATTTTTGAACGTAGACATAACAGAATTCGTTTAGTATGGTCAGAACGCGTAACCATTGTGTCCACCTCACACTGTGTCATTAGGTCTCCACTCCTCCCCTATTTTCGCGCATGCGTGATCGCAGCATGCATCGTAGTTTTATTAGTAAAAAATAACTAATTTTTAACTGATTTTTGTCATACATAATATGCTATATGATATTGTATATCATATATTCACAAATGATACCAATCAAGAACTCGGTTTGTCCTAAAATTCATAATACGTGTAAGTGTAATAGCATTGCCTAAAAGACGTGTAGTCTTGTAATGAAAATGTACGATCCATTGTAACGTTCCCTTGTAAATACAGAACAGTACTATCCGTTGCTCAGAAGAAGTACGCCGAAAAAAATGCAGGACAAGTCCCCACAAACCTATCCATTATAACAGAAATAGGGTAAACTGTGTTTCTCTTATTAGCAGAATTATTCCTTCTTATTAACCCCAAGTGCACGCAAGACGGAATTTCCACGAAACGAGAGGCTCGAGTCCTGTCGATTAAAAGCAAACGTTTCCTGACTCCCGTCAGCGTTTCACTCCCCCGTGGTCGCCATTTTCGGCTAGGAGCACATCAGGCGTGCGCCTCTCTCTCTCTCTCTCTCTCTATATATATATATATATATATATATATATATATATCGCGACCATGGGGGA